GTAACGCCTCCGTCCCGATGCCCACCGAACCGATTGTTTGTGCCGGAGGGATTACGGTCCGACGTTATTCAGTGGGGTCATTGTTCCAATGTAGCCTGTCACCCAGGAGTAAACCGAACTAGATTTCTAGTTAAGCAACGATTCTGGTGGCCATCTATGGCTTGCGACATTCGAGATTTTGTTTTGGCCTGCTCGATCTGTGCGATTGGTAAGACTTCCAATCGACCCCCAGATGGGCTTCTTCAACCGCTGTCTGTCCCTTCGAGACCCTGGTCCCATATAGCGCTAGATTTCGTCACCGCCCTCCCGCCCTCCCAAGGCAATACGGTTGTTTTAACCGTAGTGGACCGATTCTCGAAGGCGACTCACTTTATTCCCTTGCCCAAATTGCCTTCAGCCAAGGAAACAGCGGTGACTGTCATCGATCACGTCTTTCGGTTACATGGCCTCCCGACGGACGTGGTCTCTGACAGGGGATCCCAATTTGTCTCCAAATTTTGGCAAGAATTTTGTAAATTACTGGGAGCCACTGTCAGTCTATCTTCGGGTTACCACCCCCAGAGCAACGGGCAGACCGAGAGAGCCAACCAAGATTTGGAGAGAATGTTGCGATGTGTTGCCGCCAAGAATCCTTCCTCTTGGTGCCAACAACTCTCTATGGTGGAGTACGCACACAACTCGTTACCGGTGTCATCCACGGGCCTATCTCCGTTTGAGGGTAGCTTAGGGTACCAGCCACCTATTTTTCCTAGTCTGGAATCCGAAGTCGCGGTCCCTTCCGCTCACGCTTTTGTCCAGAGGTGTCACCGTACATGGACCAGAGCCCGTGAGACTCTGCTCCAAGTAAGGGCACGCACCAAGGTTAAGGCCGATCGCCACCGGTCAAGACCTCCCGTGTATGTCGTCGGTTCCAAAGTGTGGCTTTCTACTAAGAACATTCCACTCCGCTCCGTTTCTAATAAGCTAGCTCCCAAATTCATTGGCCCATTTCCTGTCACCAAGATCATTAGTCCGGTGACAGTTCGCCTCAAACTTCATCCTGCGTACAGAAGAATTCATCCCGTGTTCCATGTTTCCAAATTGAAACCCGTATTTTATTCACCCATTAATCCGCCAGCCCCGGTTCCCCCACCGCCGCGACTCGTAGATGGGGAACCCACTTATTTGGTAAATGGAATTCTGGACTCGAGACGGAGGGGACGCGGATTTCAGTATCTGGTGGACTGGGAGGGTTACGGTCCGGAGGAGAGAAGTTGGGTTCCTGCTAGGGACATTCTGGATCAGTCCCTTATTGATGATTACTATCAACAGGTAGGTTCCTCTGAGAGCTCCAGGAGCCGCTCCTAGGGGGAGGGGTACTGTCACGGTTGATGAATTCATTGACGCTCCCTTGCGCTGTGTGTGTATTTGTGAATGAATGTGTGTGTGTGTGTGGGCGTGGTCGCTGATTATCCTCCGGGGTTATCAGCGACAGGTGTTGTGCATTACTACTGCCTATTTATACTCACCTCATGCGTCTTGTGTTTGTCAGATCGTTGTTTTGTGGATGTTGCCTGTAGTGTTCCTGTTTTTCCGGCTCCCTGTGTTTCCTGCCTTGTCCTCGTTTGGAGGTTCGCCGTTGCAGTTCCTGTCTTCACTTTTCACCTACACTGGGTTCTTCACTTCACGTCTGATCAACGGATCGAGTTGCCCACGCAAACCTGCGCTACCTCATCTTCATCATCGCCAGAGAATACCATCGCTCATTGTGGGATCTTATGGTTTTTACATCTCTCTTATGAACTGCACCTGCGACTTCTCTGATCGACTGTGAACTTTGTCTGCTGCACTATTGACCTAGACTGGTGCTTTACATTCAAATAAAGACCTGTTTTTACTTGCTATTGTCTCCTCTATCTGTATGTCACAGTTGGTTGGTTGGTAGCAGGAACCACAAGTTACTGCTATTAACCCTTTCACACGTAAGTTTAAAATATTCTAACTGACCCCCCAGCGTGAGTTTTTCAAGGCGACCGTTATTTAGAACCTGTCACTTTAATGTTTCCATGGTGACGCGTCATTTCTTGTCACGTGACACAGCGCAATCACAACACAGAGCTGAATGAGTGATGATCTGCTTTTATGTCTTTTTTCCTTTTCTATTCAAAATATTCACAAATGTATTAGCTACAGCATGAAACACTGATATTCCGATTGTCAAATATGTGCAAGTGGATGTGTTTTGTTGTTTAAACATATTTATAACGATCGCGTTAGTTGAGCTGTATGCACGATGGGCGGCGCCATGTTAGTTTGTTTCACAGTTCAGAGAATCGGACCTGTTGTTTCTCACGAAATACATGAAAGTAAGTGGCCGGTGAACTAGGAGAAGAATAGGGTAAAATGTAAAGCTACTTACACAATGTGTATCTGATATGAATAAAACGTTTTGTCTTATTATAATGGAAATGATTATTGTTGCCGTTTCCATAGACATCAGTGTCTATTTTACTAATTCAAAATCACTGTTTTGCTAGTACTTATGTGTATTTAAATGTCTGAAACCTAAAATAAACATTATGTGGTTTAAAATACTCAATAGTTGTGATATATGACAGCACTGAGTGCGTCTGTCTCTGGCTCAGCGCCAGCCAACGCGCGAAAGCACGTTTGAATTTAGCAGTTGATCACGTGATGCACTGACCGTTCTAATCACACCGGTGTGATCGTACGCTCCAGGGACCAGCCAAGACTGATCACACCGGTGTGATCGTACGCGTCAAAGGGTTAACAAGTTTTATGATTGGTTGGTTGGTAATACCAGGAATTTGTATATAAACGTGGACTGTTTCTACCAATGTATCTTTTGTTTTCTACCCAAAACTAATTATGTATGCATTAGCACAGATATTGACATCTTCACTGAGTCAATGTGGAAACAGAAAATTGTCAATCAAATGATGCTGAAAATGATCACTTGTACCAACAAAGAATGCCCTTTTTATATTCTAAAGCTCAATCAACAAAGAAATCCCATAGTGCAGTTTCATTTCTTCAAGGAATCTATAAATGTCACACGGTCCCAATCATTTTGCTCAGTTCAGATGGCCAAATCATTTAAAGTCTAAACAAGAAAGGTAAGGTAATTTGATGGTTTGTGGTAAATTCAGTGGAGGCTTTACCTCTGGTCAGTAATAAGTTTGAGGAGGCTCCCGAGGCTAATTAGTTTTGATGAGTTAAATCCTCCATGCTCCCTGGTTATTTCTCTTCACTGCATATTAGTGATGATCAGGTGCAGGCGCTGGGCAATTACTGCCCTTAATTTCTTAAAGAAAGTGAGGTCAGAAAGTGAGAATAAAAGTTCCATTTCTTTTCCTTTAGTTTCAGAATGTTTGCCTTGTTTTCTACAAGCTGCATTACACATTTTGTAAAACTACCAAATAAAATATTTCAGCATGGATTAGCTTAGATTTGATTTATTTTAATAACTTTCTCAGGTCTAATACACTTTTAATGAGCAAGGGACATAGTTCAGCTTCTTGACTTTAGCTTTGGTTGAAGCTATTTTATTTTTGTTTAATTTTTTTCAACAAAAACTTTAAGATCAAACAATAATTAACAGACACCCGCAGCGCTGTCATGAACTTCTCTTCACTAAGCCTTTTTGATAAATAAAGAATTGCATATTGTTCAGACTTCGCAGTTTTAGAACATATGAGCCATGCAGTGGATTTGATCCCATAGCTCGGAGAGAGGAGAAAAAAAATGCCTATTCTATATGCGGTGCATGAAACGCCTTGATGAGTGTTTCCTTTGATACGTGAGCTATACTGTTGGGAGTGGTCATTTGTATTCATTTAACATTGATTGTGTGTTATAAAAAATAAAGCGGCAAAGTGATGAAACGTTTCTGCTACACCTCGACAAAGCTTGTGTGTTAACATAGTTCGAATTGTAATCTTACATGGATATTTTTCAAAAAGTTCAATCAAATGGACACAATGCCTCTTGAACGCGGAATGCAAAAATTAAATTGAGCATTTAAGGAGTGTTGAGTTTTTATACACAGTGGACATGTCGCCGCTATCTCCTCTAATGGCACCGTGTGATTGGGGTGTTATTTAACATTCTCCTCAAAATAATGTTTAATTACGGGGCGCTCCTCAATCACGTAGATGTGAAAACAATTGTTATTTTCCTCTAGCTGCTTCGAGTCGCCGGGGGGTGAGATGACTCGTGAAAGGAGCCGTCGCTTGTATACAGGAGCGATTTGTTCTCCACAATGCGTGCCTTCGTTAATTTCATTACCTTAATGACAGCTTCTCGGTGCAAATCTCATCCATTCCCATTTTTCTGCTGCTTCTTTGGGGTTAGACGGAACACTTTTATAATGCAAATGCAGACATTAGTGATAAATCCCATCCACTGGTCTTGTGGTTTTGTGATACCGGCGAGATATAGGCTACTCTCCTGCCCGAAATCATGTTTCATTTTCCTCCAAGCCTAATGAAAAATGAATTGAGCACAGGTAATGCATTTCCACTTTGTGTCTCCGGGCCTTAAATAGCATTTAGTTTGACCCCACCTCATCAGCCCTCGTCACTTGAACGTACTCACTTTTCGTAATCTCACGTACCGGGTTCTGGTTTAATAGTGCAAACGAAATGACAAAAAGGACGCCACGGCCTGCAGCTGCCATGAATCTGCCTTGAATTCTTTCAAAGCTGTGACATCTTTGCTGTGTTGGTGCGTGATTTATAGTACGGTGGCTAATATATGTACTTGTCCCCCATTATACACCGCCTGAGATGTTCACTTTGTTTTTACTCATGCTTTGCTATCTGTAATGAATGTGACAAATAGCTTTATGGGGTGAGTTACGTGAGTCACTACATTACAAATCAGAGGCTTGTTATTCCACACACACAGACAGCGAGAGGGGTCAGAACGCTGGGGGAGACTCTACACTCAACCATTTTAAAAATGTAAATGTTTAAAAAATATTTCAATTTTTTTTCCAGGCAGAGGTGGTGGACGTTCAGTATGGGAGCCCTGGGGATTTGAGACGAATCCAAGCTAGTACAAATGTGACCAATAGAATAGCACTGCTAAAACTTGGACAAGCACCTTTGCTTTACAAGGTATGTTGTTAAATTAATATATATATATATAAATGTGTTTTATGTAAATCAAGGTACACTACCATTCAAAAGTACTTTTATTCAGCAAGGATGAATTAAATTGATCAAAAGTTACCGTAAAAAACTTTTAAATGGTTACAAATTGCTGTTCTTCTTAACATTCTATTCATCTATTCATATTCAAGGAATCCTGAAAAAAAATGCATCACGGTTTCCCCAAAAATAATAAGCAGCACAAGAGTTTTCATCATTGATAATAATAAGAAATGTTTTTCTGAGCACCAAATTAGCATATTAGTATGATTTCTGAAGGATCATGTGGCACTGAAGACTGGAGTAATGATGCTGAAAATTCAGCTTTGCCATCACAAAAATAAATGACATTTAAAATATATTAATAATACTCTTTTTACTTTAAGTAAAATCCAGCCTTGGTGAGCATGAGACTTTTTCTCCACAACAATAAAAAAATCTTACTGGCCTCAAACTTTTGAATAGTAGTGTGTATGTGGAATTATTTGCTATTGACCCCATTAAATCAAAACTTAAAATGCAAATGTTTATGTAAGACAAATCACACAACTTTTAAGAACAAAGGAATTAACCATTTTCTGACATTCATTCTTGATAATTAAGTGGATGCATTTAATCCCTTCAAAGAGATTTCATTAATGACTAAATTAGATTGACTTAGTCTCATTAGACCAACAAATAACCATGATTATTAAAAGGCATTTAATCATAACAGAGATTTAAGAAAGTTATTTCTTATAATTAAATCACTGTGCATCTGTTTGGGAAATCATTATATGTGATTAATGCATACATAATTATGGTGCAGCTCAAATCATATCTTTTACAATTACTTAATGATGTCTCTGTAAACCTTCACCAAGACAATTACTTTAGAGTAATGGGGATCACTGATATTTATTAGTGGGTAAAGCACAGATAATGTCCTATAATTCGCTTATTCGAAGAAAGAAGCCTGTTAGTTTTGTTGTCTTTGTATTTCATGTTCCCAATGGAATGTTCTCCCCTCAGTAGTTTTCAGGAGTTAAGCAGGGGTTCTCAAAGTCTGCATTGTAAATGTGACATCACTTGTTCTCAAACCTCCTTCATTTGTTGATGATGCAAGTAGTGTGTTTCTTGTCCGCATATAGAATTGAGTGTGCACTTTTTGAACGGAGGATTTTGTGTGAATACGTGTTTGAATTGCGGCCTGTTTTTCACACAAAGTAGTCACATGACTTCAAAAGCCTTGGAATAGAGCGGCGAGCGCATAGAAGATTGGAACTGTTGTTATGGTAGTTTATGTGGCTTTTGGTGCTTCAGCAGTTACAATCGACATCCTCTCATCCCTCATCTTTAGTTCATGGTTTATAAAGTCATATGGGTTTGTACTGGCATGAGGTTGAGTAAATGAAAAGATTTTCCATTTGTGCAAACACTTATTTTCATATTTCTCCTGCAAAGCAATGTAATAAAGTCCGCTGAAGGCAAGAGTAGATGAACCCAAGTGCAGCTTTATGAAATCCAAACATGAGCAGATACAAAAATGAACTAAGACTTGGCTTGACATTGTACAAAACATTAACTTAAACACGAACAAGAAACTCACCAACAGCAGTTACACAAACAAAGCTTGACAAGATACAATGGAAACATGAGGGATATTTACACAACAACAACAAAAAACACCTGTGAACAATCAAGACAATAAACCAATCAGAACATGACACATAAGACAAAGGGACATGATCACATGAGGACCAGGAAGTCACATGACAAGAAACCAGGAAACATTACTATGAGAATTTCAAAATAAAAGACATGAACACAAACAAAACCCAAACCAATGTGACAAGCAGTATCACTTTGTATGTATTCATTTGTTTTAGGATATTATTGTCAGTGAAGAGTGTAACTCGGTTATTCTATTGATTTTATCATTCAACAAAACAGAAAAAACTATAAGAAAATCACATTGAGTTTTTATAGAAAGAAAATGTATCGGTTACCTAACGTAACCTCGGTTCTCTCTAGAAGAGGGAACGAGTATTGCGTAAGTTAGCTTACGCTACGGGAAAGATTCCTCTTTTCGAGATATTGAAGCCAAAAAATTATCATTCATTGTCAACACAGTGCAGCAGCTATCAGACCTAGAGCAGGCTGTCTAGCGTGCTCATTGGCTGCCCTGCGGCAACTGCAGCAGCCTACCACTGAGCCCGGCGTGACATCACGTCCAATCAAGGGCGCTCGCACCCTCATCGCGTCTTAGCCCGCCAGAATGGGCGTGGCTTAGCGTATATAAGCGGGGCTCGGAGGCTGTCTCCCTGGCTTTCATCGACTGAAGCGAAAGTCGCTCGTGGCGCGAGCACGGCAGTTTACGCAATACTCGTTCCCTCTTTTAGAGAGAACCGAGGTTACGTTAGGTAACCGATACGTTCTCTTACGTGACCTGCGCTCTGAACGTATTTGTTTTCTTCTAGAAACAAACTTTGTGGTATTATTTTAATTTTATCACTGTGAAGCTGCTTTGATACAAACTGTATTGTAAAAAGCGCTATATAAATAAAGGTGACTTGACTTGACTTGACGAGAGGTTCTCTCGTATTGCGTAAGTTAGCTTACGCTACGGGAACCCTTTGTTAACGCTGTGCGCGCCAAGCATCCACTTCATGAGTCCCAGGGAATCCCGGGGATCCCAGATAAGCGGGGAATAAGGCGGCCAGTAACGCGGGCCGGCACAAAGTACATAAGCACTCATAGGGAATACAGAGCGGCGCCGCCAGTCTGTATAAGCATAGAGCATATTAACCCAATATAGTGCAGCTCAACCAGGAGAGCTAAGTCACGTGAGAGTAGCCTGCACACGATCAGATCTGGACAGAACGTACATCTCACTTTTACTGACAGAAGTTTAGCCTGCAGGGCGGGAACTTCCAGGTTATGGAACATAACAAAGGTGGACAGGGAGGCCCAGCCCGCCGCCACACATATGTCATGAATTGAAATTCCGCTGGACCATGCCCACGACGATGCCATGCCTCTAGTGGAATGAGCCCTGACGCCCAAAGGGCATTGCAGACCTTTTGACGCATAGGCAGCTGCGATAGCGTCCACTATCCATCTGGACGGGCTTTGTTTCGAGGCGGCAAGACCTTTGGTGCGCCCACCAAACGAAACGAAAAGCTGCTCCGAGCCCCTGAAAGGGGCGGAGCGCGTAATGGAAGTCCTCAGCACCCTGACCGGGCAGAGGAGATTAGCATCGCTCTCGCTATCGGATGCTGGCAGAGCCGATAGAGAAATGACCTGCGCTCTGAACGGAGTGCCAATCACTTTAGGGCCATGTCTAGGTTTGAAGATGACTTTAGAGTAATTCGATCCGAACTCAAGACACGCAGTGCTGACAGACAGCATGTGTAAGTCCCTCACACGTTTGACTGATGATAGAGCAGTCAGAAAAACGGTTTTGAGTGATGGGTACCTTAGATCCACGGAATCTAACGGTTCAAAGGGATATGCTTTCAGGGCCTCGAGGACCAAAGAAAGATCCCACATAGGAACCGACGGGGGGCGCAGGGGATTCATCCTCCTGGCTTCTCTAAGGAAGCGGATGACAAGCTCGTTCCTTCCTAGTGATCGGCCGCGCGTCAACTCTGCGAACGCTGCAACGGCCGCTTCATAGACTTTAACCCTCTGGGGACCAAGGGTTTTTTGAGGCCCTTGGGATGTTTTGACATGCACTGACATTTGTGCTTTTTTCAGTTATTTATAAACATGTTAATGGCAACGGTGTAAATTCACTCTATATAGCACAAACGGGGCTACCATAATATTTGAGCAACATGTACATGTTTGTATTTTTGAGAGAATATTATTTATGCATGGTTATTGAAAAACTTAAAAATAAAAGTTTCTGAAATAAGGCCACAAAACACATATTGATTATTTATTCACAAGACTTTTGAAAATTGTATCACATAGCCTAGAATATTTGCTCCAAAACTATGTGAGAATCATCCTGACTACTCATTCAGATAAGTCAATAAAGTCTTTTATAATGTGTATGACGTGTTTAGTGTGAGAAAGCTTTATGCGAGGAGGCGTGATCTCTCATTAATATGTATGGCATTTCACACCTGAGAAAGACAAAGACCCTCCCATAATGGCCCTATTAGGTGCTATCAGGCCCTTATGAGGAGCCTTGCACAAAGAATGTTGAGATTTAAAAAAGAATGGCTTTTAGATTGTTTGGGTTTATTTACAACACAACATAATCCAAAGATACACAACAAAGGACTGGTTTCTGGTTAAAATTGCTTTTTAATTATATATACACTACCGTTCAAAAGTTTGGGGTCGGTACGATTTTAAATACTTTTAAAAGAATTCTCTTCTGCTAACCATGGCTGCGCTTATTTGATTAAAAATACAACAAAAATCGGTTATAGTATTAAATATTATTCCAGTGTAAATCAGCTGTTTTCTGTGTGAATATATAGTAAAGTGTAATTTATTCCTGTGATCAAAGCTGAATTTTCAGCATCACCAGTGTCAGTGTCTTCAGTGTCAAATGATCCTTCACAAATCAGTATAATATGAGGATTTGATGCTCAAGAAACATTTATTATTATTATCAATGTTGAAACAGTTGTTGGTCTGTCAGTTGTACAGTTTTTTTGTTGTTTTTTTAGGATTCTTTGATGAATAGGAAGTTCAAAAGACTTTTGTAACATTATAAATGTCTTTACTGTCACTTTCGATCAAATTAATTATTCCTTGATAAATAAAAGTATTGATTTCTTTCCTCCAAAAAATAAAAATAAAATTCTCACTGACCCCAAACTTTTGAACGGTAGTGTATATACACACACACACACACACACTGCTTAGAATAAGTGAAAACACCCATGCTAAAGTTGACTAAGAAGAGGAATAAAAAATCTTAATGCCTTAATTTAAAAAATGAGGAAAACTCTAACCTTTAGGGAAAT